ATTTCCTGCTCCTTTTCTTTATTCTGGGAATTTTTACAATATATAAGCAAAAATTAAGTTTTTCCTTTTGTTCTCTTTTGAAAAAAAAGAACATCTTTTTTTATCTAAACCCCGCAAACGTAACCGAGAAATTATTGTTACTTCAAGATTTCTAGACTTCATTTTTAAAAGAAGCAAAGTGACGAGTCAGATAAAAAGATTCTTGATGTTTTGGATGAAAAGGTGCGTTTTTTTTTTATTTTGCAAAAGACGCGTGTAAAGTCCTGATTATGTATGTAATTTTACTTTTTAATAATACTAATTTATCTAATTTCTTTATAGAAACAGAACCCTTCAGAATATGAAGTTAAAAGAGAAAATATCTTTCTCTCCCTTTCGTAAATCCCATAATATAATAAAGTTTCACTATTTGGAATCAAAAATCAACCCTGATACGTAACTTCTACCACTAAATAAAAAGATGGTGAAACGCATTGTATTAAATACAATGCTTATTTCACAGGAAAAATGGGGAAGAAACGAAGAATTACAACCAAAACCGAGTTGGAGATTTTATCAGCAATACCTCTGCCAATATATTATCCTGAATTTAGATAAAAGCACTACAACTACTAAATAAACTACTGACTCCATCTCTCTTGAAGAAGTTAACTATTACCAATTTGACGACAATATTAAACGATATCCACATTCAACTTTTAAAGATTATGATAAATGAAGACGATGTAAGAGAGGCTTTAAATTGATCTCAGAAGAAAATTTTAGTGGTTGAACGATCCGTTTATGTTCCTTAAGAATCTTTCTTATTTTCGTATTCAAAGTGGGCATATTCACGGTGACTTTAATAAAGATTTCGGTAGAGATTTCAATGAAGATTTCGGTGGAAGGAAGTGACACATACATCAAAGATCATATGTGGTTTTTTATCATATAAACGCACTAGTTGGTAATCATGCATGAATATTACTTTTCAGTGGGTCTACGAGAATTATAATCTCTCTGCAGAGTTCCGAAATTTTCAAAAATCGACAATTGATCAGATTAAAAAAAAAAAATCCAATTTCTTTTAGTATTAGTTTATTTTAGTCTAGCTTAGTATTGATTTAGCGTAGTCTCTACTATAGATAGATATTTTTGTATTTTCTTATTTTACTATTTGTACTTGTATAAATTTTGTGATTTAATAAAGATTATATAAAACTTCCCGCACCAAAAAAAAAAAAAAAAAAAAGAATGCGGGACCTACTCCAGCTAGAAAACATAATCCTCAACTTTCTCGGACTCAATCTCAGCAAACTTCCTTATAACATCAGGAATCTCGGCATTCTTATCCTTAAGCTTAGCATTCTCCTTCCTAAGCTCGGCAATCTGGAATTTAATTCTCTCAATGAATCAATGGATTGCATGTTCGATAATAATTTTTTTATATAAGATGGAATAATTCAAAAGTTCGTTAACATAGATAAAAAAACGAGGTAATATCCTCATCGGAATTACTTAAAAAATAAATTACAAGATTCGGTAATACATAAATTTTTACAAATTGAAGAAGAGTTTCTATGCTAATGCCTGCCAGTATTTCGTTCATCTAAAGCTAAGCTTCTATATACTAACACATTAACTCTAGTCCGATTTCATTATCGATATTCTGGATAGAAAAAAATGGTCGTCAGTTATGTAGAACATACAGAGTCAGAAATATTGACCTTACATTTGTAAAACTCACCGAAAGTTTATGTTCTCTGTCCTCAATTTCTGAACAAAAAAATAGATATTAGCTCTGCAAGCTCTGAGTCGCTTCCTCACAATGCATATCCACAACCGAAAAAATATATTTCACTCATACCTTAATTGCGAAATGTCTCGTCAGTACTTCAATAATTTTTCGGTTTCTTTCTAGCGAGTTCAAAACATTTATGCTCATGAACGATGCGATGGTTTTAGTGGCTGGACCGCCGGAGTAAGTGATGACCACTCGTACGACCTTTTGAGAATCGTAATCTAAGTATATTCTCGAGTCTATCTTATTATTAGTCACTATGTATTTAAACTCAGAAAAGTCTATACAAGTATATATATACCTTTCATTTATTTTCGACGTTTAGACTCACTCTTATCACTTATTTTACAGACATCAAAATGGTTCGTACGCTCAAGTTTAGACACATGCCACGGTCTATTAGACGATATACACACTGTAAGAGATAATGGTGTTATAGTAAATTTATTAGGGGTATAAATAACAATTTTTTACTATATAAAAATTAGATAATACGGCTAAGTTAAATGAATATACAAAGACTACAAAAACTGACAAGTTACCTAATCTTACCTTCGTAGCAGTTGGCATGAGTGTGGGTTTTGGTACCTTGACTGTCATCAATTCTATAGTCGATCGGTCAGTCGGACCAATCTATACGGTAAGTGAAAGAAGTTTTAATGATTATTATCTATATTATCTAAATAGCGCAAATTCACTAAATTTAAGCATCTTCATTCAATTCCAGAAACTCAATGAACAAAACACTTCAATCAAGGAAAAATTTGATGAACAAAACGCTTCAATCAAGGGAAAATTTGATGAACAAAACGCTTTAATCAAGAAAGTGATCGTTAAAATCTCTGAGCTCTTCAATAAAATGAGCTATA